CCAGCAAAACACCTTTCTGATGTGACAAGAGATAGGGTGGTGTTAGTCTATATGTTGATGAAGGGTATGCCCATTAATGTTGGGGTTGTTTTAAGGAAAAATATGATGAAATTTAGGAATAATATGAGGTGGCGATTCTATTATGGGGGTTGATTACCCGGTTTCTGAGGGCAGGAGGTATGGAAGATGAGGAGTTAGATATGAATGTTTCTAGGGCCCCGTACTTGATTTGCAATATGATAGATGTCACTCGGACCAAGGCACTCGACACATCCCATGGACCTGTCTTATCAGCTCAGGAGCGGCATGCACGAGATGATAGTGTGATGGCTCGTATGTTCGGCATGGTAGAGTTGAAACTGAGGATTGGGGGCCACCCGGTCATGGATAATGAGATGGAAACCTTGGCAGAGCGCTACCCGTTGATAGAGAGCGCAACTTATATTTGCAGGATTGGTCCGGCGTTTCAGGAGCCTCTTGATGATGACGAGGCCAATGTGGACGAGGAGATGGATGATGAGGAGGAGGAGGATGCTGTTGATGAGGATGCTAACGCATTGATGGTGTTTGATGGAGGTCATGATGATGACGACGAGGCCTAGAGGACTGAGGAAGTATCTCTAACTCTTTACTTTACTTTTAATTGTGCGCACTAAGGATAGTGCTAATTTTTTAGTGTGGGGTTGGAGATAACTCTCTTTTATATATAAGCTTTTAATGTTTTATTGAGTCTTGTTTTATTTTTAGTGTTATTTTTTTTATTTTGGGTTCCTCAGCTTTTGTTTGCGATACTTTTCCTGAGGATAGTCCCTTTGAACTGACTAGGACTAGTTTATTGCTTTTATTGAGTCGTAGGGTCGTCGTAGGAGTGATAGTTTCCGATGATAGATGGATGACGACCGTCTTAAGGGAAAATTAGCCACATAGAGGAGTAGAATTGAGAAACAAACCTTGGTATTTTGAAACTATGTCTGAAAAAGTTAGCCAGACGTCATGGGTAGTCACCATTGGAAAATGTAAAAGAATGGTAACCTTGAAACAAGCATGTGTTCGTTGTTTTGACTCTGAATAAATCTAAGTGGGCTTAATTGAGTAGTAATACCGTAATGCAAGTTGTATGAGCATGCTAGTATGATGTGTCCTTATGTGTGTCGTGATGCCATGTGTGGTGAGTGATTGTTTGGTTCTTACTTTAATTGATATATAGAACTTGCCCCGTGTGTGTTGAATGAGAAGCTTGTATGACTTAGGGAAAATGATTGAGGCATTTCTTTGAAAAAGCCAATTCTTGACTCTATTTTATGATTACCAATGAAATTACCCCTAGTAAATCCCCATTGAGCCTTTAGCCTTGTTTGTTTGTTAAGCCACATGAATAAGCCGAAACCCTTTCTATTGATACCAAAGTATTTGATCCCAATGTAATCCTTAATGCACTATGTTGAGAATAAAGGTTGAAAATGTTGGTAGAAGTGGGAAAATGGTGGAAATGCTAGGATGTGTGGAAAATAAAAGTGTAGAAAAGTTTTGTTTTGGCCCTGATCCGTAATGGACAATGTGCACCTCAACTCACTTGAGGGTGGCTAGTTCAGACCAATGCTCAAACATTGCCCCTGGTCCTACCAAGGATATTGTGCACCTCAATTAAGGGTGGCTAGTGTAAACACACACACACACACACACACACACACACATATATATATATAAGAAGGAAAAAGATGGTAATAATAAGGAGCTAGGGGGCAGAGCTTGAACTTGAAGAGGGATAACATTCATGAAGTATGTACTTAGAGGAAAAAGAAAAGCTAGTGAAAGATGTGTAACCGGTGGAACAAATACATGTGCATTAGGGAGGTGTAGTCTTTAAAGATATCCCAAATATTCCCTTCCTTACCCTAAGCCGGCACTACAACCAAATAGAAGTCCTCTTGATTCCTTGAGAAATATAAAGTGAAGTGAAAAAATACATTATGGGCAAGCTTATGGCATGTTAAGAGAAGTAAGAACTTCATTTGTGAGAGTGAGTACAATGTTTGAAAAATAGGCCTGGTTTATGATATGATCGTTTGAGTGAAAGACTATACTAAACATAAATGAGTGAGAGCATTCATGACACATGTTTGGATTGTCTAATTGGTGTGTTTGTATGAGTTTGCATTAGCCCGAAAAAATAATAAATGAGTCATTCTTTGAGAATGTGTGCTGTAACTTGGTGTATCATAATGATATAGTGAAATTGTTGAAATGTTGCATCCAATGTGAACAACAAAATCATGATTAAATGTGTTTGGTTGATTTTAAGGTGGGTTGATAAGTCCAACGGTTATGAAAAAGAGTTGATAGACTAAAGATTGTTTGAGGACAAACAAAGGTTTAAGTGTGGGGTAGTGATCTTAGGCATATTTATATGCCAAAGTCATCGATATTTGCCCATTATGAGATTGAATGAAGAATAATCTTGAGTCTATTAGCTTGATTTTGTGTAACTTGTGATGATTGTGCACTAACATACATAATTAGATGTTTTAGGAACTTTCAAGAAAATTGGAATTGATTTGGAGAAAGGAGAAGCAAGGACGTGCGAAAATAGACTAAGGCTGGAAGTACTAGTGCTTGGCACACTAATAAGCACAGAGCGCCAAGGGCTAAACTACAGAAGCCAAAGCCAGCACTACAGAGGAACCTGCCAGGCGCACTGCCTGGCGCGGCACGCCATGTGCATACTACAGAGGCAGTGGCCTGGCGCGATGGGAGGCGCGAAGCCCCATGCCTGTTCCGACTCTTCCATCAAAAATAGATTAAAATAGGATTCCTAGTTGAAGTAGAATTTGACTCTAGTTTTCCCAACTTCTATAAATAGACCCCTAGGGCTATCTTGTTGAGAGTTCGACATTATTTTGGTGTGCAAGAGCAAGATTCAACTTTTGTAATAGGTTTTGATTTTCTAACTCTTCTTATTTCCGAAAATAGCATGAACAATTATATTTTGTGGTTTTCGAATATTATGAGTGGCTAAACGCCCTAGTCCTGGGGCTGTAACTATGGATTTAATGTTGAATATTGAAGCCTTTTTTAATTAATTCTTGGTTATCATTATAAGTTACTTTTATATTCTTGTTTTGGTATTTCATGCTTGATCACCATCAAAATAAATCTATTGTCTATTCTTAAAATTGAGAGAGGAGAGGGTAGATAGACCAAAGAATATAGAAAGCTCGATCATCCATTGAGTTGATGTGTGTTCAGGAGTGACGCCTGGACGAACAACTTTCTTGGTTATGAAACAAGATGAAATATAAATGCTCGCCAGTTAGGCCTGCTATCTCCGCTCAACGATGTAGTTAGACAGCTAAATAGAGTAGGCGACTAGAGGTCGAGAGACCCGACTCTTACAATTAATCCTGTAAATCAGTAACTTGATAACCGAAATTAGTTCATTGCCTGAGATATGATACATGAAATCCAATGCATGATGCAGCCCTGAAATTGTCTTTTACTTGCTTGAAACATCAATTTGAAGTCGTCCGCACTAGTTACTTTTAGTTATTAAATAATTCGCAGTAGTAGTTAAAATCACCCAACTCTTTTAAATGGTTACTTTTGTTTAATTGTGGAATTAAGTACTAACTATAAGTTGATCACAAGTCCCTTGGGAACGAAAACTCATTTCTAAAAGAAACTATATTACTTGAGCGACCACGTACACTTTCGTGTATATTGAGGAGCAACAAGTTTTTGGCTGAACTAAAATATGATGAAAGAAAAATCCTTAAGGTAGTCTGAATGACCTCATCTCTTAACATTCATATTTTATAATTATGACTATGTTAGTTCCTTCTATTGATCTGACATGTATGTTATGTTTCATTCCGCCATATTACATAATGTATTATTCCATATGTACTTACGTCCCATTTGTTGGAAGAGTTGCATCTTTTTATTGATGCAGAATCTGCAGATACATGATCAGGCCCCTTACTAGGTTCCACATCTTATGCATTTGTGAGCCCTTCTCTGTTTCCTAGGGCTTAGTCGACACATTTCTAGTACTTGATGTTTATGCTTTTAAGGTATGCACATGGCCTTGTTCAAGTAGACACTTCTACAGCTATGTTTAACGGCTTCAGAGATAGACAGATGGTTATGTTTCAGTTTGGACATTTGTGTCCCTTATTAGCGATTTCAATTCTATGAATTATGTTTTATGTTAACTATTTTCTTTTACAACACTTGACTCTCCGAATGATTTTAAACTACTCCTCACGTCTAGATGTACGCTCATGTCCAATTCCATGTTATGGGTACGTCAGGCCAGCAATGACATCGAGTGTCGGTCACGTCCGAGGTTTAGGATCGGGGCGTGACACTTTGCCCTATAAGTAAACCCTTGCATGGGAGAAGTAGGGCATCTCATTTTTTCTCTTACTATAGTGCACAATTTCTAATTGTAATCGAATAGAAATTGATGTCTTATTCCAATAGATAAGCAAGATAAAATACAATATACTAGGTACTAATTTAGGAAAGAAAATAAAGAGGGATTCATACAAATCTGCTAGCTAATTATGAGGGATTCCTACAGATCTACTAGCTAAAAATATGCCTATGTACACTGCTAAAATGATGTCTATATACATTTTGTAACACTGATCAAGAGTGAATATAATTGCTTTTTGTTCTAGTTCTGGCCTTTTAATATTTAACTTTCTTATTCTTTGCTAAAGAGATATTATTTACTTCCTTTATTTCCGTAGACCAAGACAAAAAACAAAGGAAACTTGATCGAACCTAATTCATTTGCCTTTAATCCTATTTTTATAAATCTAACTTAGTTTGAACCCACACGATTTTTCCGGCAAACTAGTTTACCTTTCATTGGGGATTCCTCTTCTATACATGTCTTTATAAAAAAAGATAAAGGACTCTAGTGAACAAAATAAACAGAAAGGAAAATTTGAAACATTATATGGTTAGCTTCTTCCATAGTTTCTAAAGTAAAGCTAAGGAGTGTGCCCAAGTTGCAACTTCATCAAGGAGAAATAAGCTCCATCATGCCCGAGGTCAAGTAGCTGCAGATGAGATCCCTGCTCTACGACCTTTCCATTATTTATCACAACTATGGTGCCTGCCTTACGTATTGTTGATAAACGATGAGCTACAACTACACATGTCCTACCAACCATGATCTTCTCCAAGGCTTCCTGCACTAAATTCTCAGAGACACTGTCAAGTGCACTAGTTGCCTCATATAAGAGAAGTATCGCTGGATTCCTAACTATTGCTAGAGCAAGGGCTATCCTTTGCTTTTGTCCTCCTGAAAGTTGAACTCCTCTATCTCCACAATAAGTTTCATATCCATCTTTCATTGAACTGCATTGTAAGATTGCAAGCTTATTAACAAAGCAGCTTGTCTACTCATCGCGTTCTACCTATTGACTGTGTAATTTATGATAAGCACTAATTTGAAGACTTGTAAAAATTGTAACTAACCTGTTAGGCTAAACTATACTGATAGTGTATTCTATATCCTTATTAGTCCAGTAATAAAGTAAACTTTTTTTCCTTCTAGTTATCTCCATTTGAAGCATTCATTCACAAGAAATGTTCCACTAAAGGTCATATTAATTATTTCTCTTCAAGTATTTGACCATACTTCTAATATGTAAACATAATCTACAAGTTAGAAGAAGAATAATTGAATTATGAGAAATATTTACTCAAGAAGAAACAAATAAGGAGAGTTCAGTTTTGTAGCTTGATACCTTATAAACTCATGAGCATTAGCAAGAATTGCAGCTTTCTTGATTTCTGAATCTGTAGCTTCCTCTTTGCCATAAACGATATTTTGCCGAATTGTATCAGCAAAGAGAGTAGGTTCTTGACTGACTAGAGCATTTGTGATCTCAAGCTTCTCAGATTATAGATTTTGATATCTCTGTCATCTATCAATACTAATCCTTTTGTTGGATCATAGAATCTTTCGATCAATCCAATAATGGTGGATTTTCCTGAGCCACTAGAGCCAACAAGTGCTACCGTCTTTCCAGCATCAACTTTGAGGCTCATGTCATGGAATATCACTTGTTCAGGCCTTGATGGATAAGAAAAGTACACATGCTTAAGCTCTATCTTGCCTTTTATGGGATTTTTCACCTGCATCCCTTGAGGATCCTCAGGTGGAATCTCACTTTTCATATCTAGGATTTTGAACACTGATGATATTGCACTGCCACCTCTAGCCAAATCAGAACTCATACTCCCAGCATCTGCTATGTCTTTACCAGTGCTCAACAAAATGAAAAAAACTTGAAATAGATGTTTTGCACTCACTAAATTTTTTTCATCAGTCTCCCACCATACCAAAATGTCAATGAAACGGAGGCTGCGGTCAAGAAAAGAGAGAAAAATAAGACAATGCCTGATAACCATGACTGTTTAACATTTTCCTTATTGGGGCCTTTTTGTGTTTCTGCATAAAGGGCTAACATTTTATCCTGGGAAGAGAATGCTGTGATAGTTCTGTGATTGATCACTGCTTCACTTGCTAACTGGTTCCTTCATTTTGCGCCTTTTGAGACGTTTCTGACATTCTTTTCATCACAACACTCCTTGAGTAAAAGCTTGTAATAGTGAAAGGTTGTACAGAAATTAGTACAATTGCAATCCTCCAGGAGATGATCAATCCGAGCCCAAAAGCTATGGAAGCACTAACAAGAACCTGAACAAGCAAGGACATTCGATCTCCAACAAGGGATCGTACCATGTTAGCATCTGTTGAAAGCCTTGAACAAATAGCTGCACTGGTATTCTCATCTCGATCATACCATCCAACCTCAAAGGTAAGCAAGCTAGTGAGCATTTTTTCCCGCAATCTCTTTATTAATCGCTTTCCCATCACAGCAAAATTGTAATGTTGTATCAGATTTGCAAAGAAGCTGATGATACCGATGGTTAGAAACATTAAGCTGTAAAGTTTGGCCTCTGACTTAAGTTTTGAGCTATCATTTATCAAATACGTCGAGACAACAGATCCCAAGCAAAAGGCAAAAGCCGGTTGCAATGCACCAAAAATAGCAGCTCCTAGACATCCCAGCAAGGCTCTATTCCACTCTGGCGCATTCATGTGGAACAAACACCAGGTTGAAGGTCTTCGATGAGTGCAATTACTCATCTCTGAGTACTCATAATCACTATCGCAGAAAGAGTATGTTTGGATTGATGGAGCATAACTTGTGCTTATTGCTGGGCTAAAAGGGGTGTTGCCAGGGCTATTTTGCCAACTTGATCTGGCAAAGAATGGAAATTTTGGAGTATTGTCGCCCTTCCTCCTTAGGTAACTTGTTGCCTCCTTATAGTGATATGGATTGTCTGTGGTATTTCTAGATGTGGATAGCTGTAGCTTTACCATGTTAAAGTAAACTCCACCTTCTCCTTCATTAATCTGCATCAGCTTATCATGAGAACCTGTTTCAACAATTATCCCCGACTGTAGTACTGTTATCTTATCAACTTTGCGGATTGTAGAGACGCGATGTGCTATGACAATAGTTGTTCGTCCTTGTGAAACTTGGTGAATGGCCTCTTGTACTAGTCTTTCAGATTCTGCATCCAAAGCACTTGTAGCTTCATCAAGTAGAAGAATTCTAGGGTCTTTAATTAAAGCCCTTGCTATAGCGATCCTTTGCTTCTGACCACCCGACAATTGGAATCCAAGTTGTCCTACCTGAAATCCAATTAAAACCAAATTGTATCCAGCTTTAAAGAGCTAAGTAGAAATAATAGCAAATATATAAGTTTTTGCCTTACATGAGTATTGTATCCATTTGGTAAACTAACTATGAATTCATGAGCATTTGAAGCCTTGGCAGCTTCAACAACCATTTCCAGCGAAGCTCCTTCATTTCCAAATAAGATATTTTCCTTTATGGATGTGGCAAAAAGAGCAGGCTCTTGATTTACCAACCCCATCTGAGATCTTAACCATTGAAGCTTTAGTCTTTTGATCTTGTGTCCATCAAGAAATATGTCTCCTTTCACTGGATCATAGAACCTTTCGAGCAAAGAAATGATTGTAGACTTGCCAGAACCACTACCTCCCACAATACCAACAGTCTTCCCTGATTTCACTTTCAAACAAATATTTTGGAGAACTTGGACTTTTGGTCTTGATGAATAACTGAAAGTGACCTCCTTAAACTCAGTATCTCCTCTTACATAATGCTAAAACTCTGCCTTTGGTATCTTCAGAATCTATCTCAGGTGTTCGATTAATCAGCTCAAAAATTTTAGAGGCAGCTGCCATCACCTCTATCATGATCGAGAGATTTGGAAGTGCAGCCATACAAGATCTAATGTCACAAAAGAAAACACATTGCACTCTCAGTACATGTAATTTGAATCATTTTTTAGTAAGCATTAACCATGTTCATTCATAAGAAGGTAAAAATTTAAGTGTCTTACAGTCCTCCAAGAACCAAAGAGACAGCTGATATAAAAACACGGCCTCCGCTTTCTCCTCTGTTTGCAACAAGAAGACTCCCTGCCCAAGATTCAAAACTCCAAGCCACATAAACCGTTCCCATGCTTCTGATGAGCAATCCTTTTGTGAATCCTTGTCTGATGCCAAGCTTCATGCTTTCCTCAAGAGCACGGCTGTATCTTCTTACTGTTAGACTTTCCCCAACAAACGAATAAACTGTTCGGATTGATGAAATTGCTTGTTCTACAATGCTCCCTGCTATCCCATAAGTATGCTTCATCTTCATTGCCAGTTTCATTAGCAAACTTCCAAATGCTACCCCTGGAATGACGAAACCAAGAGAGAACGGGAAAGACACCAGTGCTAGTCTCCATGAAAGAAAAAAGGCTACAAACAAGCCACAAACAAATGCTGACAGGTGAGCTAGGCAAGTGGGAATCTGCAGCAAGGAGGAAAAAGATGAAAAAGGAAAGAAAACAATATATTCTAATCCATATGCAGATATAGGTAGTTTTGTGATTCCATCATAAGAACTAGTTTCTTTCGGCTCAAACTATGTATACAAATGTAAAAAGAACCGTTTGAAAAGTATACTTACTGTTGGGTTCGAAAGTAATTAGGACGTCATGCGGAAACTTATAAATGTAAATCATATTGGTGATATATTAGATGACAAATAAAAACATACTATCAGTAACTTGATAGATAATACCTTCTCTGCATTGACATCTTGGATTATATGAGTGTCAGTAGAAATGGTTGATATTACTTGAAAGGTAGAGGATGAAGCATCTTGTTTTTCAAAGAAACCAACTTCTTGCCTTAGTACTGATTTCAAATATTCCTTCCTGATTCTGGATGTTTGTCTCTCTGCAGTTCTTGTCCAACAAAATCCCTCTATAGAACCCAAAAAAAGAAATGTTTATGGTAAGTAGATAGTATTCTCTCATTTTCCCAATTTATACCCTTCCAATTAAGGAATTAGAATTCAATATAACAAAACGAAGGACGAACTTTTCAGGAGAAGTGAAATAGTTCTAATGTCCAAAATTTAATAACTATTAGAAAGGGTAAAGGGACAAACCAATGAAAGCGGATACTCCAACTCCAACTCCAACGGCAACATAGAGTAGCTTTAATGCATACTGTTGAGAGGAAGATTACAAATCTTGATAAGATATCAACAATAATGTTGTAAATTAAACCTGGTGTGTGTGTTGAGCACAATGATTTTTCTTCTAATAAATAAATTAGGCTATCTCAGCTCTATGCTGCACGGACTCTTCAAATATGTCAACGTCGTGTAAACAACACTACCAAGAAGGATGGCCTGATTAGAAACAATGAGATCAAGAAAACATTGCATCGATTCATGTGGACTATAGATGCAAGGAGACTAGCTAGGCTCAATGGATCAGGATAACACATTCTATGACTTATAAAAATGATAAAACTTGTTATAGATTCATGCATATATACCTCGTCAACAATTTTATTAGAGAACGAATCATCAGCAGTTTCAAAATCATCAATGAGGCTACTGAGGATAATCATGTTGAGAGGAGTCATCAGCCGATCTCCAATGGATCCTAGTGAGCCAAGTAACATTAACAACTTGTCTATTCCATCTGCATATTTGAAAAGACCATATTTGCCTCCCATTTCATACAGGGTAAACTAGTACATGAAATGTTATCACTTACTTAACATGCCATAATTGCAGTTTACACTGTCAGTATTTCTAGATTTATCCTTTTTTTTATAGGGATAAAGCATAAGTAACCGCTAGCCTATGACTGAAATTTGATCAGAGACACATCTTAACTTTCTATTACCTCGAACACATTTTTTAAAAATTTTGTACACCTTTTTGGCTTACATGGCATCCAAACATATTCCACGCGCCTCAACTACGTGGAGTCACGGAGTGTGCCATGTAAGCCAAAAGTGTATAAAATTACAAAATAAATAAATAAATGAGTCAGGGGTAATAGAACTTAGTTTAGTTAAGATATGTCTTTAAAATTTCGGTCGTAGTCTAGAAGGATAATTATGCCTTATCCTATTTATATATATATATATATCATTGAAAGTAGGCCAAGTTTTTGTATTCTTCGATCAGGTTAAAAACATGGGGATTTTCATCAGTTTTAATCATACATTTACTAGGGGTTGTACTATATTTTGTTTTTATATAAAATGGATTAGTCCTATGATTACTGATTGGATAGGCTGAGTACACTCTAACTTGATATTGTCCAAATCCTCCTGTTCTTTAATAAAATGGGAGTCATTAAATTCGTAAATGGTCACATTGAAAGAATATATCATGTAGCAAGAACGACGAATTGTACGTGTACCTTAATGAAGTAGAAGAATTATTGAATTTGCCACCCCAAGTCGACTTCCTTTCTCTTGGAAACTAGATGTAAGTGTTTATGCATTTTAATATTAAAATTAAAATATTAAGTGCATATGTTAGTTGGTATAAGTTGACAAGAATGTGGTCATTATTATGGTGTAACTCTTGTAATTACTATTGTCATGATCTACCATTAATTTCACTCATTATTCTACCTCATTATGGTTGTAACTTATGTAACCTTTGGGCAATTGATTTATCCAATTTACTACCCATTATCTTCCTATTCATTGCAAGGAAGAATTCATCACCTATAAATAGTGGTCTTCCTTTGGGTTGAATACAAGAAGAGATATACCAAAAAACATATAGACTGAAAAAGATGAGGAGTACTATATTGTGTTTATATTGAGATTAGTGTAGTGAAAGAGAGAGTTGAGACAAACATAAATATTCTAAGTCTTCAAGTATATTCACTATACAAAAGAGAATATTTATATGTTGAAGGAAGGTGTTCTTATGTGGAGCTTTGTACCCTTCAACTAATCCAAAGTTGCTTGAGTTGTACACATTGTTGGGCTATTGTATCGTGGAGGGGACAAGTCAAGAGATATACTAATGGATCGGTGTAGATGATACGGTAGTGGGATTGAATCTCCTTAAAAAGAGCGAGATATTCGTGTTTTAGCATGAATATTTTTTTTATTCATTTTTCAAGCTGTAATTTATTATATTTGTGGTATATTACACAACAAGTTTAAGGAGATTCAGATTTTGTAAAAGTTTGAAAAAGTGTGGATATCAAAATAGGAGATCTCAACATCATTTCGCTCAACATTGCTCTCTTCAAGAGATGGAAGAGAAGACATGTACGGGTAAAGTATTTGTTTTCTATTTGCTCAATTCAAGCGGAGAAAAGGTAAAGGAAAAAAAATTACCTGCTATTTTTCATGAATAAAGTAAGTCTACTTTTCATTAAAAAAATGATATTTAAATTCTTAAAATAGGGGGGGATTTATGAATGAGAAAAAAAATTGTGAAATTGTGAAATTTTGCATCTTTGAGAAATGCTCTAAAAGAGTATCACAAGTGCATTTATTAATTTTGGAATAAATCACATGTTGTTGTTTGGCTATAATGAGATGACTTTTGGCTCTAACATGAGAGTTATAAATAATTTATGAAAAACACATTGAGTAACCATTTAACATAATGAAAAATACCATAAAACATGTGATGAAATTTTCTTACCTTTTCAAGTCACATTATGGTGGAAAATTTATGAAGTACAATTTGTTGGTTGTGTGAGTCTTGCAACTCCTTTTGATTCAATTGTGTGACAAAGAAGAAAGAGAGTTTGCTAGCCTAATAAAAAATTGTGAGATATGTGACTGTCAACTTGACTTTATGTTGTGTTGCAGTAAAAGTACTTGGAAGGTACAAGCAAACTAAATGAGAAAAACTTGGTGCAATTTGTTGGAATGAGAAAAACAAATTACTTTTTGTTAATTCTATTATGGAGGTCGAAGTGAAAAAAAAATTAAGCTTTAGCTAGTGAAAAAAGTGAATTGATTTTGCTATATCAAACACTTTATTTTGAGAAATCAATTTTTCTAATTTTGATAGCAACAATATTATTGGTACAAAATTGTTATTATAACTGTAAATTCAGACTCAAGAGGAGAAGACACAATATTGTGAGATCATATTGATCACTAGTATACCATCAATATTATTGTGTTAAAAGTTGTGATAATCTTGTAGATTCATAAACTAAGGCCTTAGCAAGATATTGGGTCTGAAGCACATCGAGAGGGATGAAACTAAAGCTCATAAATTTTGAGTCATATATGAGGAAATCCAACCTAGGACTAGAGATCCTATAATAATGCTCAAGGATCAGAAGGAATCATATGATGACTTGTTATGAAATGCACTATATATTTATTTTATTCAATCCTTATGATGTAAGTGCATTTATCCTATAATGATTTGTGGAGGTGGAGTCTTTGAGCTCTTAATGAAAGTTGGTATCTCGTATAAGTAGGGTGTCAAAAATAGGAGCACCCTTGACAAATTTCACCTATATGAGTGTGAAAGTAGGTCACTTTCTATAAGAATGAGCTTGCTCTAAAAAGCCCTCATGAAAATAGAGATAACACAAGACCGTAATGTGCTGGCTAAAAATGCTTATGTCAACAACTTGATTAATGTGTGTAAGTAGTGATGCGTTAATTCCCTTAAATAGTCATAGTTCAAGTCTGAGACTACTAATGACTTTGGAGTAAAGATTATTGTTTTACTAAGTGAAGGTTCAATGCATAGCACACCTTTATGATGCATAATAGTCTACCTTCAACTAAATTGTGAAACACTTTCTTATTTTAATATTGAAATGAGTGGGGGAATGTTGGTGTTTATTCATTTTATTATTAAAATAAAAATATTAAGTGTACATGTTAATGGGCATAAGTTGACAAGAATATGGTCATTATTCTGGTGTAACTCTTGTAACCACTATTGTCATGATCTACCACTAATTCCACCCATTATTCTACCTCAGTATAGTTGTAACTTATTCAACCTCTAGCTATTCATTTATCCAATTTACAACTCATTATCTTCCTATTCATTGTAAGGAAGAATTCATCACCTATAAAATAATGGTCATCCTTTGGGTTGAATACAAGAAGAGATAGCAAGAAAATATAGAAGGAAAAAGATGAGGAGTACTATATAGTGTTTATGTTTAGATTAGTATAGTGAAAGAGAGAGTTGAGACAAAGAAAAATATTCTAACTCTTCAACTATATTCACTCTATAAAAGAGAATATTTATATATTGAAGGATGTGTTCTTATGTGGGGCTTTGTACTCTTCAAATAATCCGGAGTTGCTTGAGTTGTGCATGTTGATGGGTTGTTATATGCTAGAGGGGACAAGTCAAGAGATATATTGTTGGATCGGTGTAGCTTCTGTCATAGTGGGGTTGAATCTTCTTATAGAGAGAGAGATATCCATGCTTTAGCCTGGATATTTTTTTATTCATTTTATTTTAACTATAATTTATTATAATTAGGTATATTACACCAACACTAGATTTCCTACTCTTCTTGTAGTGTGTTTGTTAAAGAGAATTTATTTAATGACCTTCAGGTCATTTCTGTGTCTATGCCTCATGTTCATCGCTTAAAGCGTTCCTATAATGATCCTAAGTAATTTATGACTTGTTGGGACTGGCAGTTCGGTCACCTTTCGTTCTTTTGGTTTTTATGTGAGTTTTAGTGGTTTGGAGCTTTTTCAACCTTGAGTGGTCAGTTTTGATCAAAATTTCAAGAGTATGACCTTAGAATCCTTTCATCAGCTCTGTATGGGTCATTTAAGGCTAGTAGCATGGTTGTCACGACTCCCAAGATTTTTATTGCAAGTTTATGCGATTAGGCGTTTTAAATTTTAGGTTAAGGCCTAAAATTTACCAACATATTCATTTTTAGTTGGTTATATTACATACCAATGTTGAGTTGTAGTTGGATAATAACTATTACCAGTTGTGATAAATTTTATTGGTAAATTATTAAATTATCAGTTGATATTTGAATAGTTGGTAAAGTTACCAGTTTAGGAAAGTGGTTCAGGTAGCTCAGCTGGCTAAAGCAAATGACTGAAAATTCTTGTGTTAGTGGTTCGAATTCACTTCTAAGCAGGCGAAAGGTCCAAACCGTAGTTGGGAGTGAGCCGGATTGAGAAATGAAAGTGAAAGAGTAAGCTAAAAATGTGAATGTGTCGTAGCCTATCCTTGTATTCTCCATTGAGTGGTGAGCTTTGTTCCGTTACTTTCTAATAAAAGCTTCATAGATAGATCTCTCTCCATATGGATAGGTATCTTCTGCACTACCACCTTAGTTTACTAGACCTTGGGGAATTGACTAGTTACCCTCACTTCGTGTGTCATCGGACGTTCAACAGGTAGTCTCACGATCGGGCACTCATGCCCCGACATTGTCACTGGGATAAGAGGTATTGTCGATATGGAGCCTACCCTTCCGGAGTGAAGTGAGAAGTTAAATCATTTGATAAATTATTATCTAGTTTTGAAATTGAAACATTTGGAAAATACTTAATTCCCTTGTACTTTTTCTCAAACTCATCTTTACTTCCTCAAAAACTTCGTTTAAAAACACAAATGTTGACTTGAAAAGATTCTCAAAATTTATAACTCAAAAAAGGGTTCATGCTGAAATATAGACATGAACGAATCAACTTAAGGATCTCAATATAGAAAACTCAATGATACTACTCAT